AAAAGTTTTGTTTCAGTGTGTATGCGTGTTTCTGTGTGTTTATCCGTGTCTCCGGTGGTTTGTCCCTGTTTGTTTCTTGCTTGCGTGTGTGTGTATGTGTGTGTGCTTGTGTGTCGAAGGTCCTGGACCCCCTCTTCCCTTCTCCCCCGATCACTTGTTCCTTCCTTTCCATCGATTCACGCGAACCTTTCACCTCGATTCGAAACTTTCACGCCTGTTCAGTCAGCTGCCCCCTTCATTTTTATCACAAAATTTGTCGAACGCCTCGTTGATTCATTCGTCACACGCTTTCAATACAGAACTGAACGGTGCGGATATACGTTGTGTATTCTCTCGTTATAAGCGCGCTCGGTCGGCCATTTTGTGTGCGGGACCGCGATCTTGTCTGTACGACCGCCATTTCGTCGATGGAGCTACTAGACGGCGAATCTTTTGTGCATGTTTCATGAATAAACCTTTAAGTAGTGAAATGGCTAATCGGATGAAGTTTCATTTAACTCTAGCCGCTCTTTGTTTACTTTCGAATATGTTAATTTACAGAAATATTTGGTATTTTCCCCTTTTACGATCGAAACGAACGGTGCTTATTAATCGATTAAATATTCCTCGATTCACAGTGTCGCCCACCGGCGACTATAACGAGAAAGTATTGCACATTGAAACTGGAGCGAAAGAACGGGATGCGAATTAACAGTAGAACTACCGAAACAATTCAGTAACTTGTACGATGAATCTCGTGAAATCTTGATGCACCTTTACTCCGACATGCGAGTATCATGAAAATAATGAATTTCAGCTTAACTATCGACAGTTCTAGCGTCAGAAATCAACTAATACAATTGTACCATTCCTTTTTCACGAGTAACGACGGAACGGTTCATTTTCCAACGGCCCTCTGATTCTTAATCTTTAAATGAAAGCCTAAAAATACTTATTAATCCCTTATCAACAATACCCTCGTAAAAAGGCAGCCTACTAAAGTCAATTGAAATGATCACCCACGATCGCAGAGAAAAATGTATTACATACTCGTTACGAGCGCGCAGCTTGTCCAACGGTTGAATACTAACGTAACAAGAGAATAATTTGCATGTTTGTCAAATCCATTTCGGAATGTTCAACTCGGGAGCAACGAGATATTAAACAGCAGGGGATTAAAATTGAATCAAGCGAGCCATCGTGCTCATTTCCCCCCAATAAATCAAGTCGAATGTGGCATCAATGAAAAAGAAAATGGCTCTCCTTATCGCGCGATTTGCCTTCCGATTAAGCATCGCTTAATCGCTTTATAATGCGTGTTCCCACGCGGGAGCACGCGAATTCGCGGCGGCCGATCGTTAACGGCGTATAAACTTGTGCGCAGCATCGTCGGGCGAACGATAGAACGAACAGAAAAAAGGAAACACTCGACCGAGAACATCGATCCCGTTCGTCGAGGCGCGATTACTTGTAAAAGAACTTGAAAATCCTTTGTAAATTTCCGTTTCTCCAAACGAGCATGGTTTTCGATTATCGTAATTGTTGCGCTCGCCATTGCGCGGCGGGAAATAAGTGTCACCCTCGTGTCGTAAAAGTCAATGACGAGTGGAAAATAGGAAAAATCATCGATCTCTCTCTTGATACATGTATAAGTATATATTAAAACTAAACGCTTCTCTCGATTCTTTATACCTCTTACGCGAGTCTAATCGTTAAGTAAAAATTTATATATTTGTTTTGCACCAATTTTTTCGTGTTCCTCTCCGCTTTTCGTTTTTGGTGACGCGCGTACTTCGAAGGGAACGAGGAATATATAAATACCTTTCTCCGACGAATTTTTTGTAATTTTACGTGGATAGCGATGAATACAAAGAGAAGAGTATAAAAATTGCTTTCCGATTACATGTTTAATAATGGTTTAATGATAGTTATATAGGTCCACTATAATGATTCGTTAATGTGCGCTTATACTTTAAATAGCTTCGCGTCGCTTCCGTCAGCAGTGATACGATCGTAGTTGCGATGATTATTCGGAATCGACGTGTCATCGATTATTGTTCGTTCTCGCGGCATGCTCAACACGTACGAGGATAGAAAACCATGTCTTCATATTTCTGAATGGCAACATAGTGCGATGAATGCGATAGAAGTCTGATTTTTTTTCAAGTTTCTTGGAACACAATGATTTAGCATGAACCTACCAGTTGGTTGATTGTTAAGTAAGTCGTCCGAGGTCTCGCGATGCGATGATTCAAAGTTAGAACATTGGAAAATGTTTCACGAATTTTTGAGAGAATTATTCATTGATTGAATAGATAACAAATTGAGGAATTTTAAGAAAGATTCTGTTAATGAATTGTATATTTGTTCAAATACATAGATTATACCAGCGTTTAACGAAGAGAGCTTGAGGAAATATATTCCTTTCCAATCTAAGCACCGCGAGACCTCAGAAACAGCGAAGCTCCGTCTTGTCATCAAAGATTCATTAATACTGTAGAAATCATTAAAACTAAGTACTTTCTTTGAAACGCAGGAAGATCCATCTCATACGCGAACGCAAACAGAAAACACATTTTCCTCGATGTACAATGTCTCTCAATGAATCACGTTACCACTGGATTTATCGATCAAAATTACTATTCTAGAAATAACGAATATCCGTTTAAAAAAATCTTACCATAGAAACTAAGCTTCATTAAAAGAATCCTCGTCAAAAACTTAACAATACAAATATAAAGAAACATACACTAAACAAACATAATAACCTACCAACTATTCATTGGGAGACACTCTCAGTCGATTCACGTTAAGAAACACTGAAGCACGTTGTGCCAGATCAAACGATCTCAGTACTCTTCGCGAAAGAACACAGAACAACAGTTCCTACAAAATAAAACGCAATTCTTACAAGTCAACAGGTATCATCGGAAACTCACCTGATCCTCGATCGCAACGATCTTCATTCTGGAACATCGTGCTCCGAAATTCCCACGTTCATCGACGCCATGACACGAAAACCGTTCAAACAGCGTTCTCACCTGCATACCGGGTGTCCGACTTGAAGTCTCAGATATTCTCGGAAGCAATTCCGCGACTCGAACTACCGCGAAAGTCAAGACTAACAGCATCGCGATACGAGCCTCGTCTCCAAAGAATCCACGATCAAAAATCTCTTTGTAATGCGTTCCGCCAATAGAGGCGCGTGAGACAGGTACAAGCGCGGGAAAATAGCGCAGCGCTATTGGCCAATCTTCGATCGCCGATAATTCGAAAGCGAGGCGGAAATCGAGATTTCGTTATTCTCCACTTTCCCTTGAACGCGACTCGCAGAATCGCTCTTCGAAGTACTAAACGAATACGATCGAACGCTCAGCGCATACACTCAACGCAAAAAAGCACACTTTCACGAACGCCAATCTCTTCCTCCCAGCATTTACCCCATCCTCCAAGCTTGCCAATCAAAAAACGAACCCACCTCGCCCATCGTCCCTCACCCTCGCCTCTCCTACAATTATATACAGGGTGTGAATTGATTAATTGTCCTGATATCGCTCCCCATCGCTACCTCTGTCTCTCGTTTTATAAAAAATTGATTCGTTCTCGCCGGCTATTACTTATCGTTAACACTTTCCATCGAAGCCCCGCTTCCACCCCGTCACTCTCTCTCTCTCTCTCTCTCGCTCGCTCTCTCTCGCTTTCTCTCTTTCTCTCGCACACCCCCGCCCCTCGCGCCCTTAAAATTAAGCTCATGCTCGATCCGTTTGGCGGATAATCCTCCCTAGACGTCGCGCAAGGCTGTTCGCGTGCGCTTAATGAAAAATATTCTTCGAAGAAGACCAACCGCGCGGCCCATCACAGATAGTTCCGTCGTGTCGGAGGTGCGGGGTGCCGGCCACACTTCCGGTTACGTCCTCCACTCTTCTCCCATCACTCTCTCACTCTCTCTCTCTCTCTCTCACACTCTCTCTTTCTCTCTCTCTCTCTTTCTCGTCCCTCACCGTCTCCCCGTCCCCTTAACCTTAAAACGTAATATCAAGATCGTCCCTATGTATACCGTATGTAACAAGAGTTCCTCGTGTGCTCGTTCTATGTACACGTGTTCCAACCCCTGAGTCCGTCGAACGACAGGGTCCCGGCGTGTCGGGGGGGTCGAATGATCGTGCAGATCCTCGAGGGGAACGCTCGAGCCAGATCCCAGCGATCGGATCCTCGTGGAAACCGCTTCCCACGCTTACGTAAAGGCGCGTGTTGCTAATATGTACACTCCAGCCGGGGGCCAGTGCTAACGAGTTTAGGGTATGCCAAGTCTCTCGGCCCCCGGTGGATGGTTTCTTTATTAAGTTTAAGGCAGTGTCGTTCGTCCACGGCGATGAACACGTGATTCTTCCCTTCGAGTTCGTTGGCGATTCACTTGGCTCGGAGATCCTCCGGTGGTCGGAGCCCGTGGAGCTTGGAGAGGATCATCACTGGGATCGAGGCGTGCTGCCTCTGCAAGCCGCGGCCCGCCGGTTCCGAAGGCTCCGAGCTAGCGTACGGGATCCAATGAAAGCGCGAACAGGATCAGCTGCCACCGTGTTACGTCGCTGTCCGTGATTGTTCCAGTGGTCGTCTCGAAGTCGAGTTCGAAGCACGGCACCACCGTGTGTCATACGGGCTCCTCCCGCTTGAAGTTGATGTTCTGCGAGGCGCAGAAGTCCCTGGTGAACGGTATACAGTTGAACAGCTTGCACACCTCGCACTCGTACACCGGCACGTTGTAGAACAAGGTCAGGAGCAGGGTGAACAGGACCGCGATCAGGATCAGGCAGATCCAGATCAGCCAGATCTTCCGGCGGCGGTCGTAGTGCCCGAACGAGATGAACGGCATCAACGCGTACGCCGCCAGGAAGCCGAAGATGAAGCCGAACAGGTGGGCGTAGTTGTCGACCCAGGGCAGGATGCCCAGGACCAGCAGACCCATCAGGATCACGATCAGCTTCGACAGGGCGCGTCTGGGGTGCTTCAGCATCGGCCAGCAGTGCAGGATCTCGACGATCAGAGTAGCTAGCAGCGCGAAGTGCGCGCCTGCTGGGCCCACCTGCAATTATTTTGTCGTTTCCCCAGTTTTTCTCTGTTCAACGGCCTCTCGGATTCTGTCGGATGCAGGATTTGTTTGGGAGTCGTGTACTGAGCTGGAGTTCTTTCATGGTTTCCCTTTGGACAGCTTGGAGTTTGAGCTGCGATGGAGGCTGAGTTTCCTGGGATTTGTCTTGCTAGGATGGAATGCTGGTACTGGGACTAGCAGGCACATTCGGACGAGTGTAATTATATTACGTACCCCCGAGAGTCGCAGTTCATTCGATTAGAAACGATTCTTTTCGATGTAAATTTCAAAACGATCGAAACTTCTCAGTGAAACTACTCCTTCACAAGAAATGATAACGTGATCAGCAACTCGAAGACCTGATTCAATCTATCCGAATAATCTAGCAAACACAATACCCGCGAAATCTCTCCCAATCCCCCGACAATCAATCCCGGCAGGTAAATCGGGATCGTTAACCCGACAAAATCACTAAACATCCCCGAAACGGCGTAACCAGACGCGGAATCCACCCTCTCCGGCAAAGTGAAACACGTCGGGGTTTAAAATTAGCCCGGTGTAACCGAGTAACGAGCAATAATTAACAGCACCTATACCGTTTAGAGTAATCATTCCCCGAGCGCCTTCCGCCGAACTAATTAAGACGCGCTCCGCCGGTATTAGTTCCCGAGCGAGCGTTACTTTCCCACCTCCGCTTTATTCGCCCGCGCCGCAGTTCCAGGAGCAACGACGGAAACGGGAATCGACGGGAGAAGTTCGCCGAGGTGTTAACGGGTAAACTATCGGGCGATAAGACGCCGACGCGGGAGCCGGCGTCGTAAAACGGACGATTGGCAACGGCGACGCGGTCCTCGCGGAATATGAGCCGCGGTCCCGCGAGCAATTACCACCGGCGACCGAACAGTCGATTAAATCGGCGATACACAATGCGAACGGAGCCGCTGTTAAACGCGCCGTGAGATTATTCAATTAAAAGTTCGCGACGCCGACCCGCCGGCCAATAAACGCCGGCTCGCCCGGCTAATTGAAGACAGTCTGGATCTCCGAATCTCGATCGGAATTTCCGATGGGGATATGGAATCGTGGATCTTGCGTGCTTTCGGAAAATAATGGGGTATTTGTGAGACGATCCTGGATCATTGGACTAGTGGAATATTTGTGTTCCTGTTTGGTGCATTGAGTGGGATACTTTTGTTTGAGTTGGATGTCTCTGGAGAAGGTGGTTGATTAATTGAACTTAGATTTAGATTAACCCCTTGCTGTCGACGGGCGATTTAGTTAGCATTTAGTTCGATCTATTGAATTTATGGAATAAGAATTTTAAGTAGAACAATTCTATTTCTTTATTGGTATGTTGTATATATTTGTATTAGTGCGAGGAGGATCATTAATATTTCAGAAGAAAATGATATTTGACGGAAGAAGACAGCGACTGCAAAGGGTTAAGAGAATTATGGAAGCGTGATGCATGTTGAATCAATTCTCTGTTGAATTACTGGAATATTTTGGTCTGTTTCATTTGACTGTATCAACGTAGGGAAATTAAGATTACTCACCTCCGCCCTGTAAGGGACGAATATCGCACTGGCAAGGTTTCCGGCTAGAGCGCCAATGAAGTAGATCAAAGCGATGCGAAGCGAGCCCGTGAGCTTCTCCAAGTCTCGCATTAGGAAGTACTGAACCAATAGTGTGATGGACAGATGAAGAATTCTGTGAACAGAACAGGAAATCACGTGTCACCAGGATCTTAAACGTATAAAACCCTAATTTCTCACTGCAAAATATATAAATAGAATACAAAAACTCAAGTATTAATTACGATTAATAATATCCTCGAAACAAATCGAACCACGTCTCTAAACTTCTTAGCAAATATCATCGCGATTTCTTGGAGAATTGATCTTTAATCGTTAATTCGCTCATTTGACCCAGTTGATTGGCTCGATCTCACGTGAAACTCACCCGGCGTGAAGGAAAATGGTGGTGAAAAGCCTATAGAACTGATCCGGCCACTCGGGATGAAGAAAAGGGATCATGCCGCATACGTCGTGCAAACACTCGACCTGGGAGCAGAGCGACGCCTCCTCGTGGAAGTAACCGTGCACGAAGTCGCAGTACTCCTTCGTGGTGATCCGGCACATACCGTGTATACCGATGCAACATGGATGCCCGATCACCTCGCAGACCATGTGCTCCGCCATTTTGTGCTTGTATTTGCCCACCGGGAAGTTACCGTTGCTCCGTTGGCTGCCGTTTCTACTGTTGAAGAACGCAACGAGATTTTCCTCGATATTAACCATCCTCTAAACAATTCCTCGTTCCACGTTTCGTCGTTTTATTAACAGGTCGAGTGCCGAAAAACATAGAAAATGAAAGTAATCGAACATAAAGTTATGGTAATGTTACTTGTAATATAGCAGAGTTTTCAAATAATCATCCTTTAATCGAATGAATTACGGAAGTTGGTAGCACTCTACACAAAATGATTAATAAACCAACGTGTACAACATGGAACAGGTAAAAACAGAATTCGCGCAAGACTTCGTCAAATCTCTGAATTCCAGCGCATGTAAATCGTATTAACACTAGTAACTAGAAAATACTACATTGATTTTGTTATTGAAGGAGAAACAGTGGAATTGTAATTAATCATATTCGCTGGGAATGTTTGAGGGTTGGAATAATATCGAACGAATTGTGCGAGGAATTGAAAGAAAATGAGTTTGCTGTCAGCAACATACACGATTAAGCTAGTACGATTAAAGTCGGTAATCTCGTAAGGGAGAAAGAGAAGGTAATGGAATTTTCGTTGAAACATCTGACGCGAGGGAAAGCGAAGAGGAGAATGGCGAGAGTATTAGACGAAACATCGAAGAATTGAGGGATAACGAATTTACCTAAACCGTTGGTTGAACGGATTAGTCTTCCGGCAGATGGGCCATTTAGTGATGTCGTCCGGCCACTCGTACGGCGCGATGCTCGCCGGCGCGTCGCAAAACTTTGGATCCAATCCGCAAACTGATCCGCTTATCCGGCCGCCAGGTCCGCTGTCTCCGGGCCCCCACTTTTTCCAGGTCGATATCGTTTTCTGAGGATTTCGAACGTATCATTTACCGTTCCCCCGGATCGACCGAGATGAAAAGTAAATTGCATTGGAAATCAACGTTCGTTGCGTGCGATAACATAGAGCATTCTAAAGTAATCCATTATTAGATAGAACTAATACTCTTAGCAAATAATCAATTCTAATACTAGAACTATCAAAGTGAAAGGAATAAGATAAGAAGTAATATAGAAATATTCTAAAGAAATAAAAATAGTGCTTGTTTAAGTAGGATGATCTCAATTTTCTGGGCAGACTTTTCCATGCAAAATGAAACTTTACAGAATATTGTTATGGCAATGTTAGATTTTCTGAATATTATGTTATGCGAAATGAAGTTTTTTAGAGTTTGAGGTACATGGGAGAATTCAATGAACGACATATATACAAGCGTTTCTAGGATTTACCGTAGCAGTCGATCTCAGTCCCCGGACCAGTTGGTTCGCAAAATGGAAGATCATATTATAAAATACATACTAATTAGACGAGAACGAAGGAAGAAAATTAGAGGACTCACAGAGCAGTCCGCTTTGCTGGACTGCACGCAGCCGGAATCGTCGTTCCGGATGCAGCAGGCAGTGTCGCGTTCCCTTTCCCGCCAGACGTCGATCTCCTTCAGGATCTTGATGTCGCGGCGCATGCACGGCGCGAACTTCGCGCCCAGATGGATCAGATCCGCGGCCCTAGGGCCGAACCAGAAATTCGCCGGCTCCTGGTAGTCCACTTGCTGCAACGACAGACTTGTCACGAGTACCTGTAACAGAATATCCGGGAAAACTCACTTTTGCTCGAGGATTCGAAGACTCGTAGAGACTAAAACGTAAGACTTAAAGATTTAGATAATCTACGATTTAAACCTTTGCACTCTCAAAGTTTAATATTGAACTTTGTGTAATGCATTACTATTTGAAATCTCATAGTAAAATACTTTTGTCCCTTGATTCCTCGATTAAATTAGTTATATTGCGACGAGCATCGTCTATATTTTATTAGAGTTCTAATGTTTCTAGCAAGAACTTTCGAGTCTGATGGGTTAACAGTGTATTAGACAAAATAAAGATCTAATAAAGATTTAGATTTATAACTTAAATATAATTAATTAAATATAATCAGAATATAAAGGTTCGAAGAACTCACCAGTCCTGATCGGTGACTCAGGTCCATGCCAACCGGCCCGAAACCGTAACACGCTAACGATATTATCAAAATGAGCACTTGAACGGTGGTTATCCAATACGTGAAGTACGGCCTATGATCTTCGAAATCGTCCAATTGCCTTCGAACGTCCGGCTTCTGCGACACGCTCTTACGAAATGACCTCCTGCAATCAGAGTGTACACAATTATTTAGAAACTTCTTTCCTTCTAACGAAGTGTTCCATGGAATACGTTTCGTTAGCCCCTAAGTGACAGTAACCGAAGACATTCTCCGAGAGTAAACGCGACATCGTCTTCTACGATCGATGACTACGTCGGACTTGACGTTTTTTAAATATCACGTTTCTCTTTCAGAATATTTCACCCCGTAATCTTCGGTTCTGACCTCTGCCATTTGTTTACGTAACTAATTTCCACTCGGGTATCAACGGCTTCCGTTGCCGCAACATAATGAAACACTGTGATCGTTAAAGTAGAGCGTAGGAGGGTTCATGAGATAGTTATTTCAATAAACGCATTATCATCTACATAATTTGGTAGATGCATAGACATAAAACGAGAATCTTTAAAATTGAGAATCAAACATTTATCTCGTAACTCATTTCAAAGTTATAATATTGCGGATTTTTTAACTCTAAAACTACCAGGCAGTTAAGCTGACTTTTCTTAATTCTTCTACAGACTTCGATTGATCTATAATTCATTAATCATTGAATAAATCATTAATCGATTGATCTATAATTTAAGTTTGCCTATTGCTAAATCAAATTCATTAACAACTGCTCAAAGAAGCACCTATTACCTTCTTAATAATTTCAAAATCAAGAAGCTTTAGTGTTAATCCTGCAGAATAATTTTCAAGCTTCTTATCACTTTATTCTGAAATTCCCAGCGTTCACCATCGTTATTACACAGAAGATAAAAGAAACAAAGTGTCCGGGATTTATTTATTCGCAGAGAACACACAGAACTTTTCACCGTGGCGACCGAAACGATTCGTTAGCCGCGCAAAATGAAAAATTCGGGAAAACCCCGTGCTAATGGAATCCCCGCGCGATGCCTTTCCTCGCGGACGATCGGAATAGATCTGTAACGGCCGCCGACAATAACCCGTGGCTCCGAATTTCGACTTTTAATAGAGCTCAACCGATTCGGCCGGCACGAACAAAGAACAGATTTTTCGGGAAATATCGAGCGACATGAAACGCAACGATCGCGCGGTATTTTCTTTCGCAGCAGAAAGTGCATTGTCCGCGGTGCCGTCCATTGTTCGTCCGCGGCTGGTTTTTCTATTTTCCCTTTTTCTCTATCCGCTAGCGTCGATCGCTCGCCGATTCAATGTCACGTCGGTGACAAATTGTAAACCGACCGGCATTTCGACGAGCGCGAAAACATCGGCGAACAGAATTATTCATATGGAAATGCGTTTGGTGACCGACCCGGGATCGATTCCTTGGTCGACGTGAAACATCGGCCGTTATCAATCGCGAATGATTGCCCGGTATCTAATAACCGACCGTCTGCGAGCGTGTCGCTTTTCATAGCTCGCGCCGGCGGTATTGAAAGGTTTGTTAACAGACGGTGGATTTTCTTGAAACTTGAAACTTCTGAGAATATCATTGGAAACTCGGCAAACGGACAAATATATGACACACTCAAATTATACGGTACAGTGCTTCTTGATTAGAAATATTATTAGAACTACACTGTATAATTTGAACGTGTTATATGTTCGTTTTTCGAGAACGAAGAAAGAAGTAAATGATCTTTCCTAGACTCTCGAGTTCACACGTTGACTGGAGAACGATTATAATAAAAAACTTGATTTGAAATAAGAATATTCAGTAACATAAGTAGCTAGATTATAGCGTAATATGACTACTGTGACACTAAATCGTGAATAATTATTTCCTATTCACAACGCTAGAAAGTAACATCGCAGAATCGTTCGTCGAACAAGATTTTAGGTGAACCTTTGAATTCATTGGCGATGGAAATGATACAATTGAAATTCAATGGGAACTCAACTGCGATATGAAAACAATTAAAAGATAAACGAGTACTCCCGCAATGTCCTCGCGAACAATATTAAAAGCAATTAACGAGGTAATTATATAAAAAGCGTTCTCATGTCGCGTTCCCAGTAATTCGTAAAGAACCGACAGACCGCATTGAAATCGCTCAAGTGAAAGTTTCATTATTAATTACTCGGCAACCGGTAACACTTTTCCAATGCGTTCGACGGTCTTTGAAAGAGGGAAGCTTCGGTTTTATAACAGTTTTCGTTTCATTCCGATATCTTCGCCGGTTGCCGAGATACAGCCGTTTAAAGCGCGCATTAACTTTTGTCACTTCGCCGTCTCTGTCTCGCTCGCGTCTTCCCGGTGACCTGCCGCACGCGCGGAAGGTGTGCGCTGGTCAGTAACAGACGGTGACTCAGCGTTTCTTTACTACTACTAGTCCTGCGTACGCAGTTCGGTGAATGAATGTGGGTCACGCCGCTCCCGGCCGTTTCGTACATTTTACACCCTTAACTTTGAATTGTTGTAGCTCCGCTGCGGATCGAGCTATCGACTTGGGGCAAAGTTCATTATCAAGGGCGTGCCTCTGACTATCACTCAAACTTATCAATTTTCGAGTGTTTCGTATTAATCTTCGTGTAAGTTCGGCTCGAAGTCAACGATAATATTAAACTCTAGCTATTCGATTTCAAATAACTGGGAATTAAAATGTAGAAATATTCCTTTGCAAATTGGTATTGTCCTTTCATTCAAAATATGACAATGACACGTATTAACACTAGAACTACAAGTCAGAATGACTGGTTTCGATTTTTTCGTTTCGTGGTGATGATAATTGACTCACCCGAAAAATCTGCCGACGATTCCCATGCCATACTGTCTCCTGTTGCTGTTGTCGAATATTCTGTCGATGGTGTTCGGAGAAATCCTCGTAGCCCCGGTCAAATCCCTTCTGAGTGTGACGCCTTCGTCCTGCTGACCCCTGGTGCCCTCGCCCAACGATGTATCGTACCTCGACCTGCTCCAACTCGTTCTTCTGTAATCTCCTTCCCGTTATACATCGTGACGCTCTAAACTCGACGTCGGATCTTTTTCTCATTTTCTTGATTCCGGCGTCGAGTTCTCGATACACTCGAGTTTCATAGTGTCTAATCGAGTGAACTCGAAGAGGCAAGTCGGCCACTCGCTGCAAGCTCGATGACAAAGATAAAAATTGGGGAACATTCTTTTGATTTATTTTCATCGTCATTGAAGAGACATTCTTTTATACTATGGAAAAAATATCGAAGCGAACCCAGACTTTCAATTCGCTTAAAGGAACTATGAATTTAAAGAAAAATAACTGATCACTTTATTGGTAAGCGTACCATTGCAACGCAATTAAAACTGGGGCAACAGAAAGGAACACGGAATCTCACCTTGAAATGTAATGGTCCCTCGGGATGTGACGAGGTCTCCTGACCTGTTCATCGATCGTCGTCCTTTCATCTTTCTGCGTTGCAAACCTACGGCACATTCGCAAAACGCGAAATTAGACTTCGATAAACATCAGGGAAACCTTTAATCTACGATATGAAACTCGACACACACCCTCGTCAAGGGGTGAATGATATTGTTCATGAAGATCCATATTTACCAGACCAATTCCTGCGACGTTTCTCTGTCGTTCGCGGAATCGAGGAGATCCGCGACCTTCGCGCCGTCCTCTTCGTCCTTGACCAACCCTTCGACGCCCTGTTCGATCTGGGACTGCGATTGCTGCGCGGACGGCGGCGGAAGCGGCGACGGAGGCGGTGGTGGCTTTTCGAAGAAAGATCTCTCTTCGTCCTGTCCGCTCTCCGGTGACGTCACCGGCTCTGCCCCCGACGTGTAGCCAATCACGCTCGGCGGGAAGCTTCGTGACTCTGGCCTGGCCTGCGACCTCTCCCTGCGCGTCCTCCTCAGCGACTGCAACCGCGATACCAATTTCTTTTTGAAATTTTGAACTTTGGAAATGAAGGAATGCTTCACTGAAGATCTGAAGAACTGAAGGATTCAAATTCTACGGGAATTTTTCAGTTTGCTTGAAACAATTGCACCCTGATGTCATATATGATTATGATTTAGAGATGTGTTGGTAGTGAAGAGTATTTTTAACGATATTGTTAATAATTGCTGTACAAGATTTGAAAATTGAGGATGTATAGTGTTGAGAATGTCTGAAAGTTACGTCAACAATATGAAGTTTAGAAACGAAGTAGATGTATACTGTATGTACAAGGTGCCCTATAAATAATGTACTAGAAAGAGACAACTCGGAAATACGGAATCACGTTCGAAAATTTATCTGCCGCACGTGCTACCGAGTCCAATAACCTGCCTGTTCATGACCGACCATTTCTACTTCTCCTAAATATCACCGCTCTTATATCGAACGTTCAAAGTCAATTGTCTGAAGCACGAGATCTCCGAAGGAAACAAGTTTCCAACTCCTCGTGAAATCTAGAATTATTGTTAAAAAGAAACGTTGTTAAGTTGAATATTAATTTTCCATAGTTTGTGAGCAATGCCAATGCAAAACACATCTGTATAACAAATTGTGCATCATCGATTATACATATTACAATGCAATTACTATAATCCATCTAATAATAATCCTCTATAACATATTATACCATATAAAATCTATCTAATAATAATCCTGCACAATATATTCCATACACAATCGTATACAACTATATACAACCATGAAATATAATCATGATTTTTCATTTGCGCTGGCAAGTGCATATCGATCGTCACCGGTGAATAGTTAATTTGAAAACAACGACATCATCGTCCCCCATAAATCCTTGTTAATCCCCGAACAGTCGATTCTCTTTCGCGACTCGCACGTATTTTCATGGCCGTATATTAGAACAACGCGGCCATAATAGCGTTATGAGGCGGGCGGGACTAGGGCGAAGGGGTGGCTGCTGCTAATTCCGAGAAGCGTAATGTCATTCATTAATATTAAACTACGGGCTGCCGCGCGTCTGTTAACAATGCCACATCGGCCAATTGATTGGGACCGGCGTAATGCTATTTTACGGCGGTCGATAACGACCTCGGGAATTATTTTATGCAATTAAGCGTGCAATTATTCATATCAGAAAACGCGTGTGCGTAACTAATGTTATATCTCGTACGTTCATTCGCGCCGCGATGAGCCGTAATGCCCCGTAATAGCCGCACGATCATTACCGCGACCGTTTCGCAAATCTCTCGTTACGCACCGACCTCACCATTTTCATAATTAGCTGCCCGACGAGAGCGCGACAAATATTTTGATAATTGATTCCGCGGTTTCTTTGGCTTTTGTTTCGCTGAATTGTTTCAGCGAATACGAGGAAGCTTCCGATTTATGGGAGGCCTTGTTCGATAGAAACCATTGGAATTTCTCTATGAAAAGATGCGCAGGTTTTCAGCAACAATTATTATTAATTACGCCAATTAACGGAGTTTACGAGCGAACGAATATTGGGAAATTGCAGTGGTCCGCTAGAACCGGGAAGTAGAAATTAATTATTTAACAGATGCTAAGCGAGTTTTTAACTTTGAAGAATATCGATGATGCTCGTGATTTATTACTATGGACAGTAAGGTGGATGGAAACAAACGTCTACGACTGGTTTACGCTTTAATCAAGCTCGAGATTCAATCCCTCCTAATTAAATCTCCCAAAAACTCCGAACTCCGCGCACAATTTCAACAGTGCCATAATTGAATTCTAATTGAGATGAAAGTATAATATCCAAACACCACCACTTCCATCCACTGGCACACCAAGCAATCTCACCTCGTCATTTCAGAACGGTCCGAATTAACTTCTAAATTTCAACCAATTAATCAACGTCGAAAACTCCTGGGAATCACAGTCATAAAGAAAAAACCAATTTAAACAGCGACTCACCTCTCCGCTTAAGAATTTTGATCAGCTTAATACAAAGTGATATCCTCAACCCTCCACACATCGGAATCTTTTACACTCCTAAAATCTCAATCCATAAACACCGAATCACGGATTAAAGTTTTAACACGAAACAAAAAAACCATATATATTAATCTCCGATCATGTAACCAGTTAGAATTCCATGATTCCTCTAATTCCATTCGCTGCGCGCATAAATCCCTAAAATCCGCAGTCCATTAATCAATCACCGTCGAACCCTCCCGAATTTTTCCATCGTTAACCGCTCGACTGTTCCCGGCTAACCACGATCGGCCCGACCCCATAGAATCCAGCGTAGACCTCCGTTTAATTACGCGATCGCGAAACAATGAGTGTTCCCAGTGAATACTCATTAAACTTGTCGCACCGGCGGGCCCGCGCGTGATCGATATTAATGACGAATCAATGGTGTAATCCAATATCATCGGGCGGGCAGGCCGGCCAATCGGCCCCCGGGTTATTAAGGCCTCGGAATTAATGCGAATTACCGTCGGCCGACTGGCGTTACTCCAATTAAAATTTGCCGCGACGCGACGCGGCCCTCAAAAATCCAATCTCCGCACGCGACTGGCTCGTTCTAACCGATGTATGCTTTTTCCCAGACCTTCCGGATGCCGGGTAATCCTGACGGCGGGTAAATCACTCGCTTCCGGGACCCAGGAACCTCGCCGTGAGAAACAGTCGGCCGGATTTTACCTTTGAACCCCATCGAACGCGGGGAAACGTTTGTTGCTTCGTCATCAACGTTCACTTGATACTCGATTCGTGAATTCGATTGTTTCTTTCGTCAACCCTAGCATTCGATTTGACGCGGTTGAACTATCAAATCTGATATTTAACCCTTTGCACGTAGGCGCCAATTGATTTGACACAGCAAAATTAGAGTTTGATATTTAATATTGAACTTTGTACAATGCATCGACATGTGAAATGTTAAAATAAAACAGCCTCTCTCTTTAATTTATGTACGATTTCTCTTTAAGTCAGTTTGAAAGAATGTCGTTGGTTTCATTAAAAAATGTTGAGTGTTTCTGATGAGAAACTTCTGGAGTGCAAAGGGTTAATATGTTGAACTTTGTATAATGTACTTGTGATTTCTGAGTTTCAAGGAAGTCTTCGTCTCGTTAAAAAATGTTAAATGTTTCTAGTGAGAAATTTCTAGTACAAAGGGTTAATAATTATGAAGTACTTGGTTTATTATTTCTTTTATTATTAATTGGGAATTATTTGATTCATTTTTTTTACTATTTTTTGGGGTTTATTGTGTAGGAATTGGGTTGTTTTCTGTGTTTTGCTTGATTAAATTGAAACAGATTTCTCGTGGAGATATGAATGTACGATATGAAGAGTAGATTGCTGTTGCTGTTCCTTTTTATGTTCTGTTTCTGTTGGGGTCGGGGGATTTGTTTTGTTTAATTGATGCTGTTATGTGGAGAGGTTTTCGGTTTTGTTCGGTAGGCAGATTTGTGTTGACTTCGTGGGCTGTAATATTGAGTTGGGCACGTGAGGCAGGTTTTAAATTGGATGCAATGGATGCGATGAAATCTGCGGTGCATATTAATTGAAGGGAAATTCTATTTTGGGAATGCTGTTTTGGTTTAATGCATAATATTCTCGCGACGAGGATATTTCTAGGAATATTCGATATTTAACGTTACGCGCTGCGTTCGATATGATTTTATTCGAACGCGATTGTTATTGAAAAATGGAAATATTCTACGAGTGGTCCGGTATCCCTTTATTACAGCCCTTACGCGCAACACCGATGGAACAGTTATTTCCCAACGGACATACGTTCCACATTTCACTTGATTATTAGTTACGAGTTAAAACAATAATATCTGGCAATATTAAAGAGAGATTAATACGCGAAATCAAAACAAACGTGTTTACACGACGGACGAAAAAATCAAGGATTCGTAATGTAACCGGTGCAAACAGCAAATCCGGGAATAAAATACTGTAAATACCGTACAACATTGCATACACATCGGAATAATTCATCGTATCAATATTCCGCATATTCATGCGGTAAATCGAACATGGTTTTGTTGCAAGTAAATTGTTGGCGAGTTTTGTCGCTAATAATCGTGTATTACGTCCCGATGAAATTATTAATACAGTCAATCGCGATACCTGTTACAGTCCATGATTTCCCCAACGATTGTTTCGTGTGTTACATTTTTATTTATGAGCAGGATTGACGCACGTTTTACAAACAAATTTTAAAGCAGACATAAAACGAAACTAACGAACATCGCTTCATACATAAAACATTATTGGAAGAACAAAAACTTGTCTGCATTCAATATTAAATTCTCTAAATGATACGATTATAATTACACTATATATTATAGATAACAGAATATTATTTGAATAACACAATAGTTGGAATTTCCTAGATATCAATCACATAAAAAACGTCCGTTCCTCTCCTGCATTCTACAACCGGAAATAATCGCAACGAAACAATTCCGAGCCACAAAAATGTCGGAAGCCCAAGGACGCTCGTGATGCATCGAAAAAAATCACTGTCGAAATCGCGATCACAATTTCCGCGTTCCGGCGCGTCCGTAAACAAACATGTCGACGTAAACATCCACTCGTGGAAAAGACCAGAAACACAGGACCACATTTCCTGACAGTTGAAAAATTACAGAAAACGGGGGAATGTATGGAACACCAACGAAATGCGAGAGGAAAGGGTTTAGTCGTGAATCTCAGTGGAAAAATCGAATAGAATTCAATCTTTTTTTTATTTACCGCTATCGAATGACATTTTATATAATCATCAACCCTACAGAAAATAATTCTTCAGAAACCTTTTCTACAACCCACAGATACTAGAAAAAAAAAGCAGAACGAATCAACCTATAGTTCTAATTTTCCTTTATAGAATTCAAATGACAATTTGAAAAGTTCAGTTCGCAAATAATTCAGTTACCTACACATCTAGCAGTTGAAAATACCAAAGTTC